GGCAGGCGGCAGTGGCGGTGGTGGCAGGGCGGTCGGTGGGGCAGAGGACAACCCCGTGCAGCGTCTGGTTCAAGGCACTAAGCACCGTCTGGAGGCTTTGGTGCCAGGTCTCTGTCCGGTTGTCCTCCTCCATGTCTTCCTCCAGGCTGCGGGGAAGGACAGGGAGGCTCAGCCGGGGCTGCCCCCATGGCATTGGTGACCCCAGGATGATGCTGGGGATGTCCCACCAGACCCGGTGACCACCCCAAAATGGTTTTTCAAGCGCAGCAAGGGTCCGAGCCCTTTGCATTCACGGCGACCCCCTCCCCAAATTTCACTCCTTCCACGGACAGAATAAACCCACCCGGAGCTTCAGGGCTCTCCTCCCTGGGGCTGGGGACAATTGGGGGGACACAGCTCTCCCGGGGGGGCAGCATGGTTGAGTTCAACGCCTGCTTCCCCCAGGGAAGTGGGGGGACGGTGGGCTTGTGTCCAGCACCACTGTATCCTGCACCCTGGCAGGGTGCAGAGCCAGCACCCAAGGGACCCCAGGAGGCTGGGGGGGTGTCTGAGGTCCCTCATCCCAAATACCAGCTGTGGGACCGATCCTGCCACGCATTGACCCCACTCGCTCCAGGCCAGCTCCCCCGGGAGCCCCTTTTTTCCCCCGTTGGTCCTAGCCCGGTGCCAGGAGCCCCGACCGCCCCAGCAGGGGAGCACAGCTCCCCATGCGTCCCCATGGACCCATCCCGAGGGGTCACTGCCCTAAACCACACACCCCCCCCCAGGGGATTTCCCTCCCCACGGGTCCCAGACCCCTCTGAACCCCCCTGCACTTGGGACACGGTGCCCCCTGCCAGCCCACCCGGGACCCCCGTGTGCCCTTGAGCACCCTCACGCCTCGTTGGGGCCTCGGAGCAAGCATGGACGGGAAGGGACACGGTGACACGGCCCCTCACGGAGGGGACACGGTGACACAGCCCCCCATGGGAGGGGACACGGTGACACGGTCCCCACGGAGGGGACACAGTGACACAGCCCCCCACAGGAGAGGACACGGGGACACGGCCCCTCACGGAGGGGACACGGTGACACAGCCCCCCACGGGAAGAGACAGGGTGACACAGCCCCCCACGGGAAGAGACAGGGTGACACGGCCCCCCACGGGAGGGGACACGGTGACACGGCCCCCCACAGGAGAGGACAGGGTGACACAGCCCCCCACGGGAAGGGACAGGGGGACACGGGCCCCCCCGGGAGGG